GTCCACTTTTTGGACCAACTTTTAGAATGACAATGAGCTTACGGCTATATCACATCAAAACACTAGTTTCTGTATGATTACCAACGTTAAGTAACATTGACTCTGGTCAGTACCTAGAATTCTTTTTAGTTGGTTCACATATTTTAATAATTTAGTGAATGTTTATAAATTAAAATTATAGAAGATACTATTCAGACAGACAGCACACACTTTCACACAGGCAGTCTGTAAACTTAAAAAGATTCGAGTGAATTGAGCAAAACATTGTTAACAATGGCAGAAACAAAAAGAACATGTCCACTCTTCAGACCAACTTTTAGAAGGACAATGAGCTTATGGTCATATCATATTGAAACACTGGTTTCTGTATGATCATCAAAATTAAGCAACATTGACACTGGTCAGTACAAAGATGGGCGAGTGCTTGATGAAATAGATAATAGTTCAGAATTGTTAATTGGAGAGCAAAGTTTCAATTCCTTATATACACTCATGTGCAAATACCAATGGGAAAGGTATGAATCTACCACTTTCACCCCAGATATGGGTTTATTAGTAAGAATTGTATCACTAAACTATAATTATCTCAAAAAAAAAAAAAAAAAAAATTCTTACAATCTAAAAATATTTTCTGACTTTAAATAACTTGCAAAAGTTTGATAAGGCCTAAAAAATGAATGAATGATTCACATAATATATTTTATCAAAGGCAGAATCAAACTTAAAAAAAGAATATAAAACAACCATCAATGCTTGAAAACAAGTTTATATATTGATTGTAATTAAGAATTTATATACCACTTTATATCCACATTATAATTTCTTCTTTGTCTATCATATTCCAAGTAGGAATGGATCTACCATTTTCTCCCCCCAGCTATGGGTTAATTAGTAATACAGGTATCACTAATCTATTATTATTATCTCAAAAAAAAAAAAAAAAAAAAAAAAAAATTCTTACAATCTAAAAATATTTTCTGGCTTTAAATAACTTGCAATCATCTCAAACTGACACAGAGAAACTAAATAGATCGACAACATTTATTTGCACATCCATATGAATGGTATATGGCACCAGGCCAAGTATATATGGGATAAGTAACAAGATATATCCAGTTCCTCTTTCAGATATATCCTTTTGGTACATTGTAATCGATGGAACTGGAACTGACAGATAATTTGTAATTTAGTGATAGTAGACAGATTTGGTAAAAAAATAGTTACCTGATAATAGAAGTTCTTCATGATTTACTTGTAGAAGAAGCAGAAACGACTTACCTGAAAAGAAAAGAAAAAAAATTAGAAATAATTATACAATAATATTTTCATTCGTTACACAGGTTAAAATTTCCTGATGTTTAGAATTTAGTACCTGTCTATATTTCTTAGATGAGGTATTATGTACATTATTTACATTATTCGGACTATTGTCCTCATCTTTGTCGCCATATTTATTACAATATTTTGGCCGTTGTACACTCTGGCATTCTTTAGTATCTGTCTATATTTCTGAGATGAGGTATTATGTACATTATTCGGACTATTGTCCTCATCTTTGTCGTCATATTTATTACAATGTTTTGGCCGTTGTACACTCTGGCCTTCTTCAGGTGGTTGGAATGTCGAACTTAACCCTTTATTTCACTCACTGAGGTAAACTGTTCTAGTTCCATGTACCATGTTTAATGGATGTTATCTCCTGTTAATTCCCTCTCCAAGTTCCCCACTGCCTTAACCGGGTATTGAACTCACACTCTTTGGGTCCCTGTCACTGGATCTAACTTTATCCACTGTGCCATGTGTCCTCTGTGTATGAATTTCTGGGTATTATAAGCCTAATGTCTTCAGCAACATTTTTTTACCAGTGCTCATATTGTTTAGGATTTAATACTGCTTCTGGAAAATTATTTCTCTAAAATCACTTACAAAAATCACCCTTCACATTTGTTGGCTAGCAATAAGGCTACTAACATCAACAGCTGACGAATAACATCAAAATGGACAGCTTCTTTAGACATTCTGTTCTAAAGACAATGGAAGTTCTTCTCAGGAATTAGGTGTGGGGCAGACATAATGTTAGAATAAAACAATCTGTAGATCATAGTCTCTGATAGGTCAATTGAGCAGAAATGGAAAGAAAAGTGACCTTAGCATTTGACTAATATATTTGCTAACTGAAGATTGCATGAAAATGCAGGAAACTTTTAGTTGTGGTTGGTCACTGTTCACTGTGTATTATATATATATATATATATATATATTAAAATAATAGGAAGGAACAATGAGATTTTATATTTCAGAGTTCTCAGCATTTATTTTTATTTTTAAAAATAGTGCTCGATACAACCATAGAGCATAATATAATTGGTTTTTTTTAAATATATTTCCATTACAACACAGAAATTACCATGTTTCAAAATTGAAATTTCAATTCAAATTTAATCATAAAAATTAAACTTAAAATACAAAGATCCATTCCATTAACAAGTGATGCTAAGTATCTTAGCATCGTTCTTAACATCACTTAACATCATATATATGGTATCAAATGACAATTGGAAAAAAAAATCATACATTTTGCCGACGCGTTTCGTCTTCCGACTTTTTCAAGGCAAAAATGAATTATTATTTTTTTTTTTTCTCCATGTCAACAATATAGTTAAATTCCCAATCTGTCTTGTCCACAGAATTCATGTGGGAATTTAACTATATTGTCGACATGGAAAAAAAAAAAAAAAAAATAATAATAATCCCTTACTAGAAAGGTAATTTACATTAACCAAAAAAAAAAAAAAAAAAAAAAAATGCTTAGACACAAGCATCTATCTTTTTAAATTTGGATTTTTAATGTAACTATAACAACAAAAACATTTCGATTTCATTTTTGCCTTGAAAAAGTCGCAAGACGAAACGCGTCGGTAAAATGTATGATTTTTCTTCCAATTGTCATTGGATACCAATCTGTCTTGTCCACAGAATTCATCTGGGAATTTAATTATATATATATATATATAAATAAATAAAGTGTACTTATGCAGCAAAAATATTTTGATTGAAAGAATTTGAACAAACCATCAACTTTGGACAAATTATCCATAATTTTGTTCCACATGTACAACATCTCATTCAAAAACAAGAAAAATGCAATAAAAAATTTAAATAGACCCTGAATATATATAAGTTTGGGAATATTTATTTGGGATGAGGGCTTAATATCATGCAAAAAACTTTTGTAATGTGTTTTATACATTATATGTGTGTAATTATATATATATATATATATATATATATACACACACACACACACACACACACACACATACATACATACATACGTGATATACAATGTGGACATATGAATCAACACTGCATGGTGATTGTCAGATTCATTTGTCAATGTAATCTTCAGACCAAGATGGTATGAAGATTGTGCTGAAGCTTGAAAATGATTGTCTGAAGACTGTATTAAGGAATAAAAACTAACAGTCACCAAACAGTATTAATACCTATGTCAACATTGTGTCTCATATATATATATATATATATATATATATATATATATATATATATATATATATATATATATATATATATTACTAGTATTTTTTATACTTTGCTATTTATGTTTTTCTATTTTATTCAATTAGGTTTTATTTGTGGGACTAGAAATTATGACAATAGGTGATTTTTTTGGCCTACTCAGATGTTTTTAATCTTTTTTGTAAAAATTTTTTCCCCCAGATACCAATTTGTTTTAATATATTTTTATTTGCAAATTGTTCAGTCAGGAATTTTTAACACCAGTTGAGTATAGAGATTAACATAATAAATATATATATATATATATAATTTACTTAAGTAAATAATAAAAAATTAACAAGCCATAAATGTAAAAAGTAAATATAATAACAACGTGTAATAACTAATGAAGTTAACAAACAATACTATAGCCAAAAAATTGGATCCAGATGCACAACTATTTCCACCTAATAACCCCCAGAATAATTTGAAACATAACTCTTACTTCCCATTAAAATAATCATTAGAACAATACCATAGACTACCCACAATGCATCACTGGCCTGTATATATAGTCAAGCAAAAACACAATGCATATGTCCTGATGATTGCCTTCAAGCATTTAACAGACTGTCACCTTTGGGTGTTGACTTCAATATCCACTTTTATATTTAGGATAACTATATATAATTTTTTTTATATATTAAGAACAATTTTAAAGGAAAGAAATATGAATCTAAATGAAATTGGATAGATTATATATTAAAAACACATTAACAAGAGAATTGTTTTTAAATTTAAAATTCTCAGCATCTCACTTTTGCTTGGGCGCATGTATAGCTGCATCAACATAAACATAGTCCGATGAAGTCCTAAGGGATGAAATGCATCACACAAACCTTTTTTCACTGTCATTGATTGATATATATATATATATATATATATTAGTTTATGAAAAACTAGGTAATCTGTATGGGTGGATGATATCCGGAGAGCTCAATGTAAATTCAGAGCAAATATGTTTGAATAAAAAACAGACCATTGTAAGGTTCCATGTAATAAATTATTTCACCACAGCCCTTTTAAAGGACTCTGGATCATCAGACTTTACTTCCAAAGGTTGAAATGAAAATGAAAATATATATATATATATATATATATATATATATATATATATATATATATATATATATATATATATATATATATATATATATGAAATTTACATATGCATTGATTATTTCATCAAGCCTTCTGTTGTGACTTGGAAAAGAAAGCACAAAAATTGAAATCTTCAAAGAAATTGAGGCAAAAATCTCAAGAGACTTAAAGATATGGTATCAGGTCAGCATATAGGAAACCCTGGAGATGGTGCGGGTGAACCAAAAAAGAAAAAAAACGTAAATAAGAAAAGATAGAAATTGACTAATAAAAGTAAAAAGCTGTCTGTCAGGACATGTCTGCTGGTAACTACACCTCACTATGGCAGATGGGGAAGTCTTCTTGACGTAGATGAAAATGGAGGGGAAAAAAAACAAACAAGAGACAGCTCATAAAAGAAAACTTAAAAAAAAAAAAGCACAAAAGAAAAGATTGTTGTCAGAATGTAAAACCTGCCCACAGACAATGATCAGAACAGTTTGTGGGTTATTCTCTGTGCAAATATAAAGAACTGAAATCTCATCTTGCATTGTCTGCTTGTGATTCCATCTTCCCATCGAATCCAGTCAACAATCAAAGCTTTCGGAAGCCATTATCTGACCTCACGTTCACTGGCCAGGGTTGCTCTTTATTCTCCACTGCAGCAACCTGCACACCCAGTCTGATTAACAAACACAGGAATAAAAACAGAAAAGAAAAAGAGATGAGCACAAGATGCTTCAAATAAAGCCATTGAGAAATTGCTTGTGTTTTCGCCATTTTTGCTTTTGGAAGAGAGAAATCACTGAGTCCATATTTGCTGGATTAATGTTCTTTGCTTCAATGAATAGGTCAATCTCTGATTATCTTTTCGGATTATATCAATATTATTAAGATGTAAGATCACACTTAACATTTAATTCATTTCTAAGCTTTCATTTAATTCTAATACATTTCGTAATTTAGTTGGTCATGTCAGTTTTATACAAGCATGCAAATGTCTATCTATCCCTGTTCTTAATTATTTCTTTGTCTATTTCAACCCACACTTATTTCTTTCACTCTTTCTCTATCTAACAAGCTATCTATATCCCTCTGTATCTAACAAGCTATCTAAATCCCTTTATATCTAGCTACCTAAATCATTCCATATCTATCCATCTATCTAAATCCCTCTATATCTATCCAGCTAGCTATCTGAATCCATCCCTATCTATCCAGCTAGCTATCTGAATCCATCCCTATCTATCCAGCTAGCTATCTGAATCCCTCCATATCTATCCAGCTATCTATCTGAATCCCTCCATATCTATCCAGCTAGCTATCTGAATCCCTCCATATCTATCCAGCTATCTATCTGAATCCATCCATATCTATCCAGCTATCTATCTGAATCCATCCATATCTATCCAGCTATCTATCTGAATCCATCCATATCTATCCAGTTATCTAAACCCCCAGCTATCTAAACCCCTCCATATCTATCCAGCTATCTAAATCCATCCATAACAGTCTGTACATGTCTCTTACTCTATCTCTCTTTCTGTCTTCATTCAGTCCATAATAATCTAAATTAATGTCATAAATTAACATCTTTCAAAGAAAACTGATTAATGCCATTAAAAAAAAAAAAAGAGGATTTCTGAAAATAAATTCTATTTTCCAAACAAGTCTCATGAGAAGCACATGTAATATATATTAAATGACTAGTGACAAAACTGATAGTAATATACACCTCATTAGTGGATACTCTCTCTGCAAAATTCTAATTAGAGACAGATAAGTTAAACATTTAGTTTTATTTGTTGCTATTAATGTTCTATTTCTTGGTATTGAGCAATTTAATTACAAAAGACGGCTTGCCTTAAAAGGGTTTTTATATTATGAATGGAAATAATCATAATAATAACAAGGCAACCAATAATAAAGTTAATAAAACACTAAAAAATTGCCATAAAACTTCATTCAGATCCACAATTACTTCCATTCAATATCACCTAGAACAATTTAAAACATAACTGTTGTAACCCATCCAATAACCATAAGAATAAACCTACCCATAATGCATCAGTAACCAGCAGATATAAATAGTCAAGGCAAAACACAATGCACATACCCAGACGATTGCATGTAAGCATGAAACAGACTGTCACCACTAGGTGCTGACCTCAATGTCCACTTTTATATTTACATATGATCTACGGTTTGGTTTATTTTATTTTACGGAATATCAATCTCAATAGGTTATTTAATGCTGACAACATTTTTAGGATAGATTCGTATGAATAGAATATGTATTTTTTGGTTTAGATTGGTTTGGTTTATTTTGTTTTACGGCATATCAACCTCAATAGGTTATTTAATGCTGACAACATTTTTAGGATAGATTTGTATATATATATGTAAATATTCTTAGATGGAGTCTATCTGTAGAAGAGGCAAAATGAATAAAAAGAGACAAGAGGAAAACTATACTTAGTCGGAGTATTTTATCCTCTGAAGGACTGAGGTATATAATTTAGTATTTGGGCAGCAATCCTTCTTTTATACAAGTTTCATTAAAATGACTGACAAGGTAGTGTGGTTAGATTTTTTATTTAATTTTTCTTGTGTTCTCAAAATTTTCTTCTTTTCTAGACATAAACTATGTAGGAATTATCCAAATGTTTTGTATGGCCAAGTGCTTTCATCTATACTTTTAGCCATTATCAAGGAAGATTTTATTTTAATGTTTAACTGATTGTCTGGATTGTTTTCTGTATGTATCTAGAGTTACAGGAATGTTTTATTTTCCAAACATAGTCAGCCATGTTTGTAGTTGATATTGAGTGTTGGCTTTGTCTTTTTTATTAATAATGCTTCCATTATGTTTAACCTTTTTTTACAGATGAAACCATTATATTTGTATTATAACTGACTATGTTGTGGATGGAGTTTTGGTAGGTCTCCACATGTATTTAAATAAGACCTAATTTAGCTGTGGTCAGAAATCTGTAACATGAGTCTTCTTGTTAGCTATGTTGTAGTATATCCAATATTATTGATGAATTTTGATTGATCAGGAGCTTATCAGTTGTTTTTAATGAAACATAAATTTATATATATATATATATATATATATAAATGAAGTGGCTGAGATAGATTTATATAGGGAGATAAATGGGTATGTTTTTAAATATTTAGATTACTTCACCTAAATATTTCTGTATTGTTATATATTGTACCTATGAACACTAATGGGTACGTCCCTATCCTCATAAATATGTTGGACACTATTGTAAGTGGGGGTGTAATATGCTGTCTAAATAGTCCACCACTAGCAGTGGTTTACCTACTTCATGCCACTGGTGAGTATTGTATTTTGTTGATGCTATAAAGATTATTACTTAATTTCCAACCTTCATTTAGTTATTCCTCATTCAATAATCCTTTCTAGGTTACAACACAATTCCTAAGTGTATCAGGACTTTCTTGCCAACCTAATATATATATATATATATATATATATATATATATATGGGAAAATGATATATACATTTCATATATCAGAACAGTCATCAGAAAATCTATGACAAAGCGGAAAACATTTAGATATTTCTGAACAAGTTTGGCACCGTATATGACATACAAATGATAGTCTTGATCTCATGTGACTATTTGTTATATACCATACCTATGAACATTAATGAGCATGTCCAAATCCTCATAAATATGTTAGACACTATTGTAAGGGGGGGTAATACGCTGTCTAAGTAGTTCACCACTAGCAGTGGTTTACCTGCTTCACGCCGCTGGCGAGTATTGTATTTTGTTGATGTTATAAAGATTACCATTTCATTTCCAACCTCCACTTTGGTTATTCTTCATTCAGTAAACCTTTCTAGGTTACAGCAACTATAAAAATGCATTGCAAATGATTTTTACTATAAAAATACATTACCAATGATTTTTACTATAAAAATGCATTACAAATGATTTTTACCATAAAAATGCATTTTGAATGATATTTACTATTTTTATATACCGTATCTATGAACACTAATCCGTATGACCCAATCCTCATAAATATGTTGGACACTATTGTAAATGGGGATAATATGCTATCTTAGTAGTCGACCATTAGCAGCAGTTTATCTACTTCATGCTACTGGCGAGTATTGTATTTTGTTGATGCTATAAAGATTACCATTTCATTTCCAACCTCCATTTTGGTTATTCCTCATTCAGTAACCTTTTCTAGGTTACAAAATGTATGTTGATGCATTCTAATTAAATCTGAACTCATTTTCAGAGTCTCATCTTTTATTTACAGCGAGATAATGATTCAAAATTAAAACACAAATATTCTTAACACTGCAAATGATACGTGTGCTTATCATCCAAGTGGGATTTGTGGAAGATTGAATTCTAAACAAACACAAATAGAACCATGACAATAGAGTTATCAGATGACATGAAAAAAATGGGGCTTTGGTATCAGTATCATATTAACCTGACCAGAAAGAGTAGGGTAAAATTGCCATTTCTAGGAGACAAGTTTAATCCAGAAGCAGACATACTGTCTGGTGCCTGATTCTTTCTGGTATAGCTAAAATAAATTGCACAAGGTAGGGGAGGTCTAAAAAAGAAAGGAAAAAGTTAGAGGTTTCAATCTAGGAATGACTGCTAAAAATCAACCCCCTCTCCAAATTTATACACAAATCCTACAGTTGCATGCTGGGATTTCTTCCTAGCCAATAAGAATGGCCACTTCTCAGGCTTGTAAATCATATTTTTGTTCTTTCTTGTCTTGAAGTTAGAACAGAAAACTACAATCACTTGTCTGTATCCCTTTTGTGTTATAACACAATTCTTTGTAAAATTTTGCCTTATTATTGCTTACTATTGTCATTAAAGTAATAATAAATCGAAATGGTACATTTGATAATGAACTGTTCACTCCAACATATATATATATATATATATATATATATGGTTGTTCCTTGTGATGGTAGAAGGCTTGCATGTCCCAGTGATCCCAAGAGTAAAGCCATCTGGAATTAAACTCCAGTAGAGCCACCCATGGGGGTAAGGTCAAGGAGAAGAGATTAGACTGAATGTAACCAACTCCCGAAGTCCCCAGTTGTGGAATAGTCAAAGGTCTACATGATAACGACCAAACCAGCAGAAGAGAGCAGCACCAGTCAGGCTGGTGTAGCCATGGTAGACCTTGAAAGACCAAGCATCCAACAGCCTCATGCAACTATATTAGCCAGATCTCACATATCTCAATTCCCTTTGTGTCGCGAGGGAGGTGCTTCTGGCCAAGTGCGTGGGCTTCACCATCATGCAGAGTTGTTTACCAAAATCAAATTCAAAGGCCTCTTTCACTAACTTCAGGAGTAGGCTAGGCCTCCATACCCATCACCACTATGAGAGGGAAGGAAGGTAATAAGGAGGACGGATGATGATCCCCAAGCTCATATGCAAGTGGGTGCCAAGTACAAATAGTGCTGCTTTGCCTACTCTAGTCTTGGATATAAATGTGAACATAAACTAAATAAGATATTAG